CAGTCATCAGTCAGGACACCAAGTTCCTAGGGTGACCATGACACTTTCTCAATGGTCTAGGATTCCAGACACCCCCCTGGAGGGGTGGGGTGCCATGGATAGGACTGCTTGGGGAGTAGTGGACTGCTCACCTTCTCACTCCTTTGGTTCTTATTGTTGTAGTCAAGATGGAGGCTGGCTGCCTTACAGAGAGATGAGAATCCCAGGTTAAAAATACAGAAACATTTTTTCTTTTGTACTCCTGTTGACAATCTTTTAGCGGCCCAAGAGAACACAAATATGACTTACTGAACGGCAGATAAGTCACTGTGCTGCTGCACTGGTAGAACCTGCTAGAAATCCACCTTCTGGAATTTACTGAACATCATCCCTGTAGGTGCTGGGTAAAACTGTCCTCTGCCACAGCCCGCCTAGGGAACACATAGGAACCCGGAAACAAAATTCTTTCCTCTTACAATCTCTGACCTGCATCTCCTACTGACAAAAGTTTAAATTATGCCATTGGAAAGGGTAAAATGTTATTTAAAGGGCCCAGGTGGCGCAGATGGTTAAAGTGCTTGACTACTAGCCAAAACATTGGCAGTTCAACCTAGCCAGGGGTGCCATAGAAGGCAGGCCTGGAAATCTGCTTCTGAAGGGCGCAGCCTTGAAAGCCCTAAGGAACGGTTCTCCTCTGCACACAGGGGCTCCTGCGAGTCGTAATTAACTAGATGGTAACTAACAACAACAGATCCATTTCCAAAGTGAATTTTGGAGCTAAGAGGCAATAATAGGTCAGTAACCAGCACAGCCGACACACTGAGCTACTCTACTTCCATATCACCCTCCTACATACATTTAAAAGGAGCTCCGGTGGCGTAATGCCTAAGGCATTTGCCAGCTAGCTGGAAGGTTGGTGGTTTAAACCCACCCCCCACTCGTAGAAGGAAGATTGGGCAATCTACTTCCGTAAAGGTTTACCTCCTCGGAAAGCCAAAGGTGGTCAGTATGCGTTGGAATCGACTCAATGGCGGGGAGTTTGTTTTTTGTGTTGTTATGTGCCGTCGACTTGGACTCGTCTCATAGCGACCCCTCCTTGGGTTTCCGAGGCAGTATCACTAGGGAAGTAGATTGCCCCATCTTCCTTCCGAGGAGTGGCTGGTGGGTTTGTTTTTTGTACATACGTTTAAAGGAGCCTGGAGGCACAACAGTTAAGCATCCAGCCACTAACCCAGAAGGTTAGCGGTTGGAACCCACCCAGCGGCTCTGCAGGATAAAGACCTGGCGATCTGCTTCCAGAAAGATTGTTGTTATGTGCTGCCGAGTCTGACCTGACTCATAGCGACCGCTCCTTGGGTTTCCGAGGAGGTATAGCATAGTGCCTAAGGCACCTGACTGCTAACCAGAGGGCTGGCTGTTCAAACCCACCAGCCACTCCTCAGAAGGAAAATGGGGCAATCGACTTCCGACTTCCGTAGTGATACTGCCTCGGAAACCCAAGGAGGGGTCGCTATGAGTCGGGTCGGACGCGACGGCACATAACAACAACAAAAATTCACTATGGAAGTAGATTGCCCAACCTTCCTTCTGAGGAGTGGCTCCCCCTAGGAAATCCTATGGGACAGTTCTACTCTGTCATACAGGGTCACTAGAAGTCGGATTTGACTTGATGGCACACAAGAACACACACATTTATACCCCAGTAAAATCGCAAAATAACTCTATGTCTAACAAGCTAAACCTTGTTTATGAGTACTTACAAGAAATTGTCACCTTTTCCCCAAAATGTGGAGATGCACAGTCCCAAGAATCATCGTTTCACCGACCAGTGAGGGACTGGAACCAAAATTCCAGGCAGTGTTGAATTACCCAGTAAGCAAGGTAAGCACAAATTTACTTGTGCTTACATGCTTTACATGGGCTCTGTGGTGGAAAATTTGTGAAACTGTTCATTACAGATTAGGAAGGAAGCACGAAGCTTACCTTGCTTACTAGGTAATCTGCCTCTGATTCCGGGCACTGCGCAGGGTGCTTTATACTTTATAACATTTAATTCTTAGAACCGTGTGTTGTTGTTGTTATGTGCCCTTGAGTCGGCCCCAACTCATAGCGACCCCTGCTTGGGTTTCCGAGGCGGTATCACTACGGAAGTAGAATGCCCAACCTTCCTTCCGAGGAGTGGCTGGTGGGTGGGTTTGAACCGCCAGCCTTCTGGTTAGCAGTCAAGTGCCTGAGGCACTACTAGAGCTCCTAGAACCTTGTGGGAGAGGTGCTATTTAAAGATAAAGACTTAGTGCAGCTCCCTAGAACTCAGGAGAAGCATGGTGACTAAGATCTCTATTATCAAGCAAAGTGTTTTAAGTGCCCAAAGGGGAATGAAGGTAACCCGCAGTGTGATCCGATGTTCTAACATAGGAAAGCATCTTGGTGAGTTGTTATTAGAACAGATGTAGTATTCAGACAGGCTTTGAAAGATGTGAAAAATTTCCAGGTGCCATGGAGCCAGAGGTCGAACGACCTATGGGATATGTGTGTGTGCTATGGAGGAAGAAGAGTGTTCAAATCATAGCTCTGCCCTTATCTTTGTAGCCTTGGGCAAGTGCATCAAACTCTGAAAGCTTCAGTTTTCTCATCATTAAAATGGGACAGTAAGACTGACTTAGAGTTTTTAGGACCAAATAAAGCCATAGCTAATATTAGGTTACAGGGGAATGAAGCACATGGCTGCTTACAAAATAAAGAAAGAAATAGAGAATAGTGTAGCTGAAGTACAAGGTGGAATGCAAGGATTTAGTAGTCAGGGAGACCAGGAGTTCTGGTGGCGCAGTGGTTAAAGCATTTGGCTGCTAACCAAAAAGTTGCATTATCAAACCCATAGGCCGCTCCGCAGAAAAGATGAAGCAGTCCGCTTCTGTAAAGATTTACAGCCTTGGAAACTGAGTGGAGGTCGCCGGAATCCACTCGATGGCACTGGGTTTGGGGAATATTTAAAAGTCTGTTTGTTTTCCAATTTATTCCCAAAGCCAGCATTGGACCCGACTGACTATGGCATCCAGGAAAACATGAGATAACCTGAGCTCAACTCTCGTACGTTACAGACTTTTTTTCTAAAAAACGACGTGCTGTGCGTTGAAGAGGATTTTTGGAGGGGCTGAGGGGCACTGTCGTCTACCGGTTCACATTTTGTAAAAGGGCCGCTTACACCAAACAAAAAAAAAAAACAAAGT